TCAAGGCAAGGCAATGTCCTCTAACTTCTGGTCCAGCATCTTGAGGTCGTCCAGGAAGCGGGTCGGAGTGAGGATGTGTGAGGAGCCTGGGCAGGAGGGGAGGGTTGGGGTCGATGCCTGGGTCCCTGCCACCTCCCAGCCAGGGTCCCTGGGAGACCAGGCCTTGCCTCTGAGCACTCTGGGTACACACAGGGACCCAGTCCCAGCTGCCCCCTCCCGGGGAACCAGGCTCCAGCCCCTTGAGACCCAGATCCGGTCCCCTCCCCTCCCCCAGGCCTCTCAGGTGCCAGCTCTGCACCCGGAACCCAGCATCAGGCCCTCCCTACTAGGGGACCTGGGGGTCCAGCCCCAGCCCAAGGGACCCAGGCATGGGGGAGGCAGGCTCCGGCCCAGCCCAGCCCAGCCCAGGGACCCCAGCTGGTACTCACCAATCAGCACCTCCCACTTGCCATCCGTGGCCCTGGTCACTTCGTAGGCGGCCCTCATTTCTGACATGGCCACGCCGCCCAAGATGTAGATGATGAGCCGGGGCCCCGCCCGCGCCTCCACACCGGCCTTGTTCTTGTGCCAGTGTCCGAAGCGGGCGCTGTGTGGGTGGACCGGGGGAGGGCAGAGGTCAGCCCCTCTTGCCCCTCAACTAACGGGCCTGGCACCAGTAGGGGCATCCCCAGGACTTCACCTGACTGCAGCCTGAGAGCTCGGCATGGGGGCGGGGTCAGACACAAAGGGCCATAGCTTGCGGTCCAGCCGGTCCTCCACGGCATCCTGGGGCCAGAGAGGGAGCTTAGGAGAGGAGCTTCCGGCGATGGGCCCGGCTCAGGCTCCCTCACTAGGTGCTTCAGGAGCCAAGATCCTGGCGGATGGACGGGAGCCACCATCTGCATCCCCATCCCTCCAGGGCCCAGGAGCCTGGACCCTCCGTCCCTGCTGGGCTCCAGTGCCCTCAGAGACCAGGCACCCAGGCGATGATGGTCCGTGGAGGAGCCAAGGTCACTGAGGGTGTGGAAGTGCCCGGACTCCGCAGGGACAGCAGGCTGGGCAGGAAGCGGCCCTGGCCTGGCCCTTTTCCTTTTTGCTGCTTTTAGCGCCCAGGATGGGCAGGGGGGAGGCAAAGGGGGGATGGGGGGCTTCCCCAGAAAGAGGGGAAGAGACTGGGGGTGGGGAGGGTCACAGGAGGCACCAGTGGGTGGAGAGGAAGTGAGCCCTCCCACAGGGCCCTTCTGCTGCCCTAATTCCTTGGGTCTGGGTTTGGGGTACCCCCCTGGCAGAGCAGACTGGATGCTGGGGACCCTGTAACCAGGGATATTTCATTATGCCCCAAGGCTGTGAGCTGATGCCTGGGTCGATGCAGGACTTGGTGAGGGCCGGAGAGGTGAGGCCTCAGCCCCATCCTCCCAGGGCCCCTCCCCCGTACCTCCATCACGTCCTTGATGACCGGAGTCCAGCGGGACAGCTGGTAGGTGGGCTCCAAGCGCTCCCTCCGCTCCAGCCGGCTGGAGGCCCCAGGGCCCTGCAGGCGGGAGGGGGCGGGCGGTGGGGCAACTGAGGCGGCGGGGGCTCCTACTGCTTGGGCGGTTGCAGAAAGATGGGGCTATGGACAGAACTAGAGAGAGAGAGAGAGAGAGAGAGAGAGAGAGAGAGAGAGAGAGGAAGAAACAGAGGCAGTGAGACGAAGAGGAGCAAAGAGAAAGAGGACAAAGAGAAATGAGGACAGAGACGGGAGGACGGGAGGACGGAGAGAAAGGGGGATGGGGTGGGAGGTGAGCCAGGGGACCAGGGGAGATGGGAAATGAATGGGAGGCGCCCTGAGTGTGGAGGATGCATAGTTTAGAGAGAGATTGGGAGGGGGGGGCCCTGAGCAGCAGGCTGAGCGGAGAAAGCTGCTGTGTGTGCTGGCTGCACAGGCATCCTCGGAGACGCCCAGGAGCCCAGGCCCACTGTGGGTTCTCGCCCCAGGGCAGCAACGAGCCACGCGCTGGGGGCCCGCACCACATTTCCACGCTCCGCCACCAGGACTGGCTCTGACCGCACCTCACCACCCTGCTTAACGGTGACCGCGCTGGGGACAGACCAACCACTGCGCAGCATCCTCTGCCCCTCCCCCAAACCACACCACACCCTGTGACCCCAACCCTGGAGGTGCCTCCACCCCCCAGGGCTCAGGCTGCTCCTGCCCTCTCCTCAGGCACCGCCCCCACTCCGCCTACATCCGCCCCCCCTGCATACCCCGGGGTTGGTGACGGTGGCCCCCAGCTGCTCCAGGTTCCGGATGAGGCTGCTGTGGGCCTGCACGTTGGCGTGCTGGATCAGCTTGGCCAGGTTCTCCTCACTGACACCTGGGAGGGGGGGGGCTATCATGGTGGGCTTCTCATGGGGGTGGCTCGGGGGGGGGGGGCAGAAGGCGGGGGGACAGAAGGCGGGGGGCAGAAGGTGGCCATGCGACCTGGGTCAGGGTGTGTGAGGTGCCAGGGCCTGCAGTGCCAGCGGGGGCCTGACATTGAATCTGGGTGGGGATGGAGCCTCCAGGGTAGACGGGGGTTCCCTGGAATTAGTTGAGGGGCCAAGTTCGAAGGAGTCATGGATTTTTAGCGCCCGTCCTCCATGTTAATGGAGCTCCATGTCAATGAGGGTCCCCGGTCAATGGAGGGGAAGTCCCGGGACCCGGAGGGGCGCCTGTGAGGGCTGGTCACCCTGGCAGGTGGGGACACGCAAGGACAGGGAGCTGCGGGGCCGAGGGATGCCCAGGACCCCGGAGACCCTGCTGAAGCACAGACCCCGAGACCATCCCCACCCACCATTCCGGAGGAGAATGTAGAGCAACAAGACCCGGATCTTGTCGTAGGCGGGCACAGCGGCGTCCAGCAGCACGGGCACGATCAGCTTCATGGCGTCCTTTATCTTCTCGCCCTCGGTGTCGGAGCCCAGGGCCAAGTCCTGGGCATGGAGGGCAGGGGTCCTGTCAGCTGCCTGGGGGGGGGGGGGGGGGGGCGGCTCCCAGGGCCTCCTGAGCCTGTAGGGCTGCTTCCTTCCAGGGCCCGGCCTCTGCGGCTCTCCCCGGCCCAAGCCCTCCCTCCCGCGGGCCGCCCGTCCACGCCCGCAGGCCACCTGCTCCACGCTGCACAGCTTCTCCACGGTGCCCTTGAAGTGCTTCATGCAGTCGTCAGCGAGGTGCAGGTGCGTGGAGTACTGCAGGGGCGGGGGGCAGCAGACTGAGTCAGGGAGACGGGCAGGTGTGGGGGGGATCAGGGGTGACAGAGACTGAGGGGAGACGGGGGGCAGGTGTGGGGGGATCAGGGGTGACAGAGACTGAGGGGAGACGGTGGCAGGTGTTGGGGAGTGAGGGGTGACAGAGACTGAGGGGAGTTGGGGGCAGGTGTGGGGGAGTGAGGGGTGACAGAGACTGAGGGGAGATGGAGGCAGGTGTGGGGGGATCAGGGGTGACAGAGACTGAGGGGAGACGGGGGCAGGTGTGGGGGAGTGAGGGGTGACAGAGACTGAGGGGTGACGGGGGGGGGCAGGTGTGGGGGAGTGAGGGGTGACAGAGACTGAGGGGAGACGGGGGCAGGTGTGGGGGGATCAGGGGTGACGGAGACTGAGCCAAGGGGAGACGGGGCAGGAGCGGGGGGCAGTTCTGGCCTGGGCTCACCTTGTTCAGCTCCTTCTGGTACTGTGGCATCTTTTTCAGGATGTGGGACAGGTCTTTGATGTTGGCCTAGGGACGGAGTGGGGGTTGGGATCCAGGCTGAGGCCCCCCGGCGGCCGCTCCCCAGGCAGGCCCGTACCTTGTCGGTGGTCAGTCTCTTGCTCTCACAGAAGGTCTTCAGGAGCTCCGTGACCTTCCTGGCAGTGAGGGGGGTAGGGGTGAGGTGTGGGGCTGGAGAATATAGCTTGAGGGCAGCTTGGGGGTCACAAAGCTGGGAGGGGTGCGCTGGAACCCCCACACATGTCCCTGCACCAGGCTGTGTGCAAGCCCACATGTGGACCTGGAGAGTTGGCTGAGGGGCGTGGCTTGAAGTGGGGCACTCACCAAAGGTGGAGGGCCCTGTACAGGGCGGGGGCGGGGGGGGGGTGTGGATGTGTGGTGATGCTGATGTGAGGGATACAGGCGGGACCACGTGCAGAAGGGCCCACCCCACGGCCCTCCTTTGTGAGCGTGCGTGCACACACACACACACACACGCACTTGGACACGTCGGCGATGTGCATGTGCCGCAGCTCCACCCACAGCTCGTCGTCCTCGTCCAGCAGCACAGCCTTCTCGCAGGCCTCGCTCAGCCCCGTGGTCTCGTACCTGCAGGAGGGAGACAGAAGGTCAGGGCTCGGGCGAGGACCAGGGCCCCAGGCAGCTGTGATGGGGAAAGGGTTTCCGGGAACCACCCACCTGTACGTGTCCTGCTCAATGTCCAGCAAGTCATAGGCCATGGCCTGGAACGTGAGCTCGTGCAGCAGCGGGGACACGGGGTCGGCCGCCCGGTCCATGATCAGCAGCTGCGAGCGGGTTTTCTCAGGGCCCTGGGTGGGCGGGACGAGGACATTAACCCTGACCCTGGCTGGGGCCTCGCCCCAGCCCCCAGCACACCCCTTACCTCGCCCAGACTGGGAGTGTCCGCCTTGAAGGCATTCAGCTTGGCCAGGACAGCGTGGGCCAGCTGGGCTGTGTCCTCGGGTCCCCTGGGGGCGGGATGGCAGAGGTGGGGCCAGAGGGAGTGGTGTGGGGAGGGCCAAGCACAGCCTGGGATCAAGGATGGGGCTGGGGCTGGGAGTCGGGTAACGGGTGAGGACTGGGGCTAGGGCCCAAAAAGAGGTGGAGGGGGGATGCAGGATGGGGACAGGGGCAGGGGCAGCATCGGGGTGGGGTCCCCACTTGTGGTAGCGGATGGCGGGGTACTCCTGCAGCGTGGCGCACAGTGTGGCGATCTGCTGGGCCAGCGCCTCCAGCTGCCGCGCCCGCTCCCCGGCCCGGAAGGGGCAGTAGAGGTTGTAGGTGCTGTGGGGGGCGTCCAGGGAGAACACCTGCAAGGACACATGCCCACGCTGCCGGAGGGTGCACCAGCCAGCCTGGAGGAGAGGAACATCCCCACCCCTGGCCACCCCTCCACCCCGCCTCCAGGCAGGACGACTCAGGGCCCCGCCTTCCGCCCCGTGGACGCAGCTCAGGCGCCCAGCCCCTCCACGCTGGCTCCTCTCTGACGTGCTCGCGTCTCCTTGGCTTGTCTCTGGCCTGTTTCTGAGGGAGCCTGGGTGCTGGGTAACAGACCCCCCTCCCCCGCACCTGCCGGGACGAGGCTGGGCTGTACCTGGGCCTCATAGGGGAGGAAGGCGAGGTGGATCTCCTTCAGCGTCTTCACTACCTTTGCCAGGCGGGAGCGGCCCAGCTCACTGAACAGAGGCTCAGGGCAGGCTAGGGTGGGCAAGAGGGGGCGTTAGACCAGAGCCGCCCCTCCCCAGCCTCGGCCCCTCCTCCTGCGCCCCCCTCAGGCCTTCGTCACTCACTGTCCGTGAAGAAGATGTGTGCCGCTTTGTAGGTGAAGGTCGGGGTCCCCCGGAAGTCTGCGATCAGGGCCTGCACCGACTGGGGGATGCAGGTCAATCTCCAGGCCTGGCCCTGCGCCCCCGGGCCCTCCCCCGCCCACCCCGTCCTCTGCCCCAGCCCCCCGGCCTGGCCTGTGCTCCCACACACATGCAGACGTGCAGAGGCATGCACCCAGGCACTCACACACTCGCTCGCATAGGCACCTTCTCCGTGGGGCTCAGCAGGTAAATGGCCTCCAGGCTGGGGATGGGCTCCCGCCGCTTGTTGATGTCCTCCACAACTGGAAGGAGAGAGGAAGGGGCGCATGAGGCAGCGTGGGGACTGCGGGCAAAGCAAGTGTCAGACACTGGCAGAGCTCTGCACCCCAGGGTCCCACAGCCCCACCCCAGGGGCTGTGCATTCTGGGGGCCCTCCCTGATTCACCCTGAGGGTCTCTACAAGCACACACACCGGGGTGGCACAGTGGGGAGTCCGGCTCCCACACTCAGCTCCCACACTCAGGCTCCCACACTCAGGTCCCATCTGGAGAGCATGGGTGGGTGTCACTCACTGGTGATGCCCTCAGCCAGGATGTCTGACATCTTGCAGCAGGATGACAAGATGCGCATGCTCGGGTGGTCCATGATGAGCACCTGTCCGGACAGATGGGCGGACAGACGGAGAGATGGGCGGTGGGCAGACAAGTGGGCAAGAGAGGCTGAAGCTGCCCCAGAGGGGGGGCTGGGGTGGTGCAGGACTGTCAGCCGCAGGGGCTGGATGGGAGGACCCAGGACCCCTCTCCCTCGCACCAGACCCGCCCAGGCCCCGCAGGGAGTTTGGGGTGCCTCACGTTCAAGGCACCCCACATTCGTTTGCACAAACCATTCTGCTCACTCCTACCTTCCATTCGCCATCCTTTTTGACGCTCCGAATGACTCCACTCAGAATCTCTGTAGGGGAGGGTGGGTTAGGCTGCCGGGTCCTCTGCCCGACACACACCAAACCATCCCTAACTCCCGTTTACCCCTCCCCCCATCCTGTGACGCAGCTCCTGCTGTCACCCCCAACTTATAAACAGGGAAACTGAGGTTCACACAGGACAAGGACTAGACGAAGCACCCGAATGACTGAGTGGCCCAGAGCCTGTTATATAAGTAGCCGGAAACTATACTTTAGAGCAGTGGCTCTCAACCTTTCTAATGCCGTGACCCTTTACTACAGCTGCTCATGGTGTGGTGACCCCCAACCATAAAATTATTTTCGTGGCTACTTCATAACTGTAATTTTGCTACTGTTAATGAATCGTAATGTAAACATCTGTGTTTTCTGATGGTGTTAGCTCTCCAGCAGCAAGCGGTTCTCAACCTATGAGTAGAGACCACAGGTGAGGAGATGAACCATAACTGCAAAGTCAGGGCTCGGTGCAGGTCTTTCTGCCTCCAGAAATGGACTTGGCTTCACCGTGGGCTGCCTCAACGTCTCCTGGTGCGGTGGTTTTGACTAGAGTCCCCACTCCACCTCCACCAGCTTCCACTGGGCTAGAATGCAGGAGCCCCTGTCTACCCCCCGCCCTCCCCCAACCCACCCCCGCTTTGAAATGTGCCTGGCTATGGTCATTCCATCACCCAACCTCCAGCCTCAGTTTCCTCATCTATAAAATGGAGTCAGTGGCTTTCCAGGCTCCCTTTAACCACTCACTCTGTTAGAGGTTCCTTTTTCGGTTGGGGCGCTGGGGGTTTGAACCACACTCTGCCTGCCCAGCGGAAAGGGGACAGGGAAGGAATGGCCCCGCCCTCCGAGTGTCACCACTGTTATCGGGACAGCCGGGCGGAAGGAGCAGCCGAGGCCGGAACTACCCGAGGCTCCGGACTGGCGATCTTCACCCCTCCCCCAAGTCCGGACCCGCCCGGCCTGGACCCCGGGTCCGCACGTCGCACCCCCACCCCCGGGCCTGAACCGGGCCTGGACACACCCCCTGGGCACTCCCACCAGCTGGGGTCGCTGTCAGAGCGCCCAGCCCGGCCCCAATCTGCAGCCCTGGGCCCAGAACCCAGCCCCCAGGACGCTGCCCGCGCGGAGCCCCGGGAGCTCGGACGCCCAGCTGAGCCCGGCGCCGCCCCTCGGGCTCCCGGAGCGCAGCCCCCAGGTTCGCTCGGCTCCGGCTCTCCGAGCCGGGCTGTCCCGCTGCAACCCCGGTCCCGCCCGCCCCGTCGAGGATCAGGTGCGCCGCCGGCCCCGCCCCACCTGGCCGCCCCGGGGACCCAGAGCCCGTGCGCCCCTGACCCCCGCCCCTCGGGGGACGCCGGAGCCCGGCCGGGGCAACACTCACTTTCCCCCACCACCGCCTTCAGCCCCGAGGGCGCCATCTTCCCCAAGGGGCACCGCCGCTTCCGGGTCTGCCAAAGGTGGGGGCGTGGCCGCGCGCCACTCACGTGGGCCCCGCCCCGCCTGGCCCCGCCCCTCCCCGCCTGGCCCCGCCCCGCGCCGCCAACACAAGCATCCTCAGGTGAGGATTGGAAACAGAGTGGGGAGAGGGTCCGGGAGGCTCCTCACCGACGGTGCGCCCTGGTTGCACCCCCAGGGGTGACAGTCACATTCGTGGGTTGCATGGCACGCGCGCACACACCTCAGTTCACACCTGGGACCGGCTCCTGCGGTGGGAAAGGCTGACCTGTCTCAGGCACAGTCCAGCCGCCCCCAGGAGGGTGGGGTCTCGGTTTTAAAGGGTGATGCACGTGTGTGAAGGCAGAGCCCTGAACCCTCCCTCCATTCAGTGCTGTACCCGGCCCTTTGCCATTGGGATAGGCGTGGACAGGCAACAAAAGGTATGCCGTGAGGGGCTTCCCCTTGGAGTTCAGGAGGGAGGGGATAGGAGATAACCAATCCTGCCCTAACGGAAACAGAGATGTGCAGTAGTAGCAATGTCAGTTGGTGAGCGGGTTCTTTACTGGCGGTGGTACTGTTTCGTGGAAACGAGGTCCTTTCACGGAGTTGCATCCAGAGGAACCCTCTGAGGGGGTGGCCTTTAGAGTTAACCTAAATGGTCCACGCAGAGAAGAGCAGGTGGTGGTGGGGCACGGGGCTGGGCAGGAGGTGAGCTGGAGGAGCTGCGGAAGCCAGCTTTCTGAAGGAGAGTGTAGGACTGAGCCAGCTCGATCTGCCTGGGATAGAGGGTCCTGGGGTGCAGGATCCCGATAAACTGGGATAGTTCCAGGCAAACCAGGGCTGCCACTCCAGAGATTTGGTTCTTTTTCCACCTTTCCTTCTTTCTTTTCCTCCCTTTCTTCATTCTTCTCTTTCTTCCCTTCCTTGTTTTTCTTCCCTCCCTCCTTCTCTCTCCTTTCCTTTTCTTTAACAGTTCTATTGAGTTATGATATCACATATTAGTACTACTGTTAAACAGCTTTTAGCATATTCAGAGTTGCACGGCCATCACCGTCCAATATGTCCATTACCCAGGGCGTTTGGGTTTTCTCCTGAGGACAGTGAGGGCCCAGGGAGAGTTCTGAGCAGGAAAGGAGGGACCCTGCAGCTGCTAGGTGGGGAGGACAAACTGCAAGGGGGGGGGGGCACTGGGAGACCATAATGCAGCTGGGATCAACGCCAGCTTCATAACTGGTCCCCTGGGGTGAGAGCCCGCAGGGCCTGCCACCCACCCTGTCCTTTGTGAGGGTGACCGGGCTTCTCAGCTGTTACAGGCTGAGTGGGCTCCTGTCCCCTTCATCCCTAAAATAAAAGTATGTTGACCCAGCCAGTCAACGTGGCTCAGAGGTTGAGCATCGACCTATGAACCAAGAGTCGTGGTTCAATTCCTGGTCAGGCACATACCCAGGTTGCAGCTCAATCCCTTGTGTGGGATGTGCAGGAGGCAGCCAGTCAATGGTTCTCTCTCATCACTGATGTTTCTATCTCTCCCTCTCTGAAATCAATAAAAAGAAAAAAGAAAAAGGAAATCCTAACCCCCAGGACCTCAGAATATGACCCTATTTGGGAACATGCAATGACTGGGCTCCATATCTTGTGACAGCCATGTGAAGACAAGGACACACGAGAGCATCATGTGATGACAGAAGCTGAGTGTGTACAATCCAAGGAACACCAAGGTCTGCCAGCAGCCACCAGAAGCAGGGAGGGGCGAGGAAGGACCCTCCCCCACAAGCTTCAGGATTTGAACCCTGGCTCCAGAACTGTGGCAATAAGTGTCTGTTGTTCTAAGTTACCGGGTTGTGACAGGGCGGCCTCGGGAGAGGAACGCCTGTGGTGGAGCAGGGCATCACGTTGGCAAAGAGGACTGAGGCCATGGAGAGTGTGTGACCCTGCAGGGAAGGGCTGCCTGCGGAGGGGACCAAGCTCTGCACTCTGGAGGGGTGGTGACCATGTGGCCCTTTACTCCCGGAAGAGACTTCCACTAGTTTCTAGGAAGGCATCTTGAGGCGGGGCGGGGTGTGGATGGGAGCCTCCCAGGGGCATTTCCCCCCTCCCCCCAGCCACTGAGGGAGAGGAAGCCATGGCTGTGGTGGTGGGAGGGGGTGGGGAGCAGGGGCAGGGCTTCCCTACTCTTCTCCCTCCCCAGCAGGGCTGAGCGTATAAATCAGAGACAGCTCACCTGGGGAGTCCGGAGATCCCAAACCTTGGCTTGGGGGCCTAGGGGAGGCAACCAGACCCAGGGCGTGAGTAGCGGCAGAGGTTGCCAGGAGACAGGGAGAGAGCGAGGAAACAGGTAGTGCCTGAGGGGTCTTTAGGTCTGACTTACCCTGCCGCCTGCGGATGGCAACTGCCTTCCTGCCGGTGAGACTGGGCTGCAGACCCCCACCTGAGCGGCCCTGTTGGCCTGTTCTTCCCAATGGGGCCCAGCCGGCCCCTACGACCCACTGTGAGGGCACTCTCTGGCCTGCTATAACCCACCTGAGAGTTCTTGAGGCACAGGGGGTCCTGCCAAGTCAGTAAGGTCCCAACCCAGGCCCCCGGCTGGCTTCCTGCCCCCACAGCAGCCCAGCAGTGCCCGGCAAAAGCAATCATCTGGATCATCTTTATGGGGCTTAAGCTTGGGTGCGAGCAGATGGGGTGTGATCCGGGGATTTGGGGCTGGGTACCCACTGCCCCCACGTCTGTCTTTTAAAAAGCCTTTTCTGGCACGGGGCTGGGCCAGAGGCCAGCAGGGAATGGACGAGGTCCTGGAAGCAGGAGCAAAGACAAACGGGGAAGAGGTGGATGGGGTTCAGCTCCCTGTGTCAAGGTAAGCAGGTCCCCCCCACTTCCCCTCCCCCCCCCCACACATTCTCAACTCCTCAAGAACAGTGAATGACAAGGACTAGTTTGTAGGGCATCTAATTAGTGATTTGAGTCTCTTGGGACCCCTGACCCAGTTTGCTGCCCAAGGACATACTGGTGGGCATGAGGGTCCAAGTGCCTCACACAGCCCCAGGGCAGAGGTCAGTGTGCCCAGCCATGGTCCGGTGAGCCGGGGGGATGCTGGGGTTTCCAGGCGGCCCCTGGGACGTTTTCCTGGCTGGTGTGCTACAGCCAGGCCCCAATCTAGGATGACAGAAGCTTCTCCCTTGAGGCAGCACCACGTGCCATGGCACTGATGGCCGGACCGAGGGGGCTGGGACTGTGAAGGAGACTCTTGTCTTGCTCACAGCAGCTCTGCAGACAGCGCACCAGCGGGACGCATGGTGAGAGCTCCGGAGAGGCGGGCAGTGCTGGGGGCCAGGTGGGAGCCAGTGAGGGGCCACAGCGGAAGGCCCAGCTGACCAGATGTGTCTGTCTCCCAGGCGGGTTCCCCAGACCAAGAAGGCTTCTTCAACCTGCTGAGCCACGTGCAGGGCGACCGGATGGAGGAGCAGCGGTGCTCGCTGCAGGCAGAGCCAGGCACCATCTCCAAGAGCCGTGAGAGTGGGGGTGGGGTGGAGGGAGGGTGCTGCCCGGGGGAGTAAATGGGGTAGGGCCTAGCGGAGGACAAGTTACCATCTCGGCAAGTCTGTCTGAGTGAGTGGGCACCTGGGGACACAGATGCTTGTGGGTCCAGGGGCAAGGCTTGGCAGGGGAGAGTGAGCACGCATCCCGGAGAGCGAGGGGAGGGTGGGCCGAGGGCTCCAGCTGGGCTGTGCTCCCTGGCTTCTGTGTGTGTGTGTGTGTGTGTGTGTGTGTGTTCCTCTTCACCTGCCGGTGCTCCCTGCAGAGAGCGGCCCCATGCCGGAGGTGGACAGTCTTATAGACATGGTGGCCAGCACCCAGGGCCGCCGCATGGATGACCAGCGTGTGACCATCAGCACCCTGCCTGGTTTCCAGCCTGTGGGCCCCAAGGTAGGTGATGTTCTGCTGGGGCTGAGGGAGAGCAGCCATGCTGAGACCCCAATCCTGCCTCTCACCCCCAGTCCGGAGGGACTGGGGCCCTCCCCACCCCCCCACCCCTACCAGTCTATCATGTGCTAAACCCCCCAGTCCCTCCTCACTCCTCTGCGCTCAGCTTCCATTGGAACAGCAGCTCTCAGTCCCAAGGCCCTGGCCAATCCAATATCTGACTTTAGACAAGAGAACCAAGGCCCAGACAAGGTTAAGAGGGCCACAAGGTCATGCAAAGGACACATTAAGTCAGAGCCATGGCTGGAGCTCATGGCTCCTATTGCCATAACTGAGGGTGTCAGGGAGGGTTGATAGAATAAACCCCTCTCCTGGGAAGACATCCCCGGGGAGGAGGGCACACGAGCTCATGTACTCATGTGTGTCTACGTCACGTGTAATCATGCACAGCTTGGGTTCTGATCAAGACTCCAGTGGGACCCCCAAGGCCCCCTACCTCACACCCAAATAGCACCCTAAGTGTTGAGTAACTAAGATACGTAGGAGCTCCAGATGGTGGGAAGTGCAACAACAGTTCCCACCTGCACCCTCCTTCCTATGCTTGTCTCGTCGGGCCAGCGCTGTGCTTGGCCTCTTCTCTGGTTGACCCCTCTTCATCCACAGGACGGAGTGCAGAAACGAGCTGGGACCCACAGCCCCCAGCCCCTCCTCACCCCTCCGGACCCCTCTGCTCTCAGCTTCCGTCGGAACAGCAGCCCCCAGCCCCAGACACAAGCCCCGTGAGGGCCTGAGCCATCTTGCACCCCACCCATGCCCCCCAAAAGCAGACAATAAAACACTTCTGGGAGAAAGTACTGTGTGTGTGTGTTTCACGGATGGGACACAGGCCCTTGGGGGTCTCCGGGGCTCTGCTGGGCAGCGCGAAGGAGCTTCTCCTCCCGCTGCCTCCGTATCCTCGCTCTGAATTCTTCCAGTTCTCGGCGCTGATGGTGAGGAAGAGGTGGGACACACTTCAGAGCCTGGACCCTCTCCCGCCACCCTGCCTCCCACTCCCCCCGCCACGGCTTTGGACTCAGTGTCTACACTGGAAGCCCTGTGCCAATTATAAGCAGGGTCCAAGTGGGATCAGCTTCATCATTTGGGGAGAGGGCAGTAAGGAAACCTCGTGGTCCTCTGCTCTCAGTTCCCTGCTCAGGACCAGGCAACATTTTCATTCCAACCCACCCTGGTCACAGGGAGCCAGGCCCCTCTGTCCCTCCGTGGGAGGAAGAGTATGTCACTTACCTGGTCCTCCTTCTCAGGTGGCCACAGCTCCCTCTGGGGGAATAAAGTCACAGATGAACCAGGAGCCTCCAGAGCCCCACACCCATGACAGGTCAGCCCATGGAAGGCACAACTTGGTGCCCCCTGCCTTCCCCCACTCCCATAAGCCCATGAACACTCCCAGCGCCCACCTTTCGCTGAATGACGTTGTCCTCAAACCACTCGGCCTGGTTGGCAATCCAGAACATAGCCACAGGGAAGGTGAGGTACAGTGTCATCTGGAAGGGGGAAGGCGATGAGCAGAGGTTGCTCAGAGCCTGCAGACCATCCGCTAGCACAGCCCATCAGCGCCTCCTCAGGGCCCCCCAAGAGCCCCAGGATTATGGGAACCTGGGAGACTCCCTCTCAGCGGCCACACACGACCTGGCCCCAGGCGCACAAGAGCTCCTTCCTCAATGCCCCCGCCCCCAAAGGCGGGTCCTGGGAGCACGCCTACCCCCTAGTGTAGGAGTCCCCCTACCAAACACACACACACACCCCATCCTGAGCCCCAGAGCTCCCCGAGTCTGGAGCCTTCTTCCTTCTAGAGCCCCCTCCTCTGGTCACCCCTCTCAGGAGGCCCTTCCTCACACCGGCCCTACTAGAGCCGCCCTAATCAGAAGCCCCCTTCTCTGGGTTTCCAACCCTCAAGGGCTTTCTCAAATCTCAGGATCTTTCTCCCCAGAGCGCCCTTCTTCTCAGAGCTTCCTCCGCAGATCCAGGGAGACACCCCGCCCCGCCCACCCGCTCCGGGGCCCACTGACCCGAAACACCTCCAGCTTCACTCCCATTTCGCTTCCCTGAGGCAACAAAGTCGGTCCGGTCCAAAGCCCAGCCTCCAGGCAGCAGCGTATTAGAACGCACTGGCTCGACCGAAGAAGGTGATTGGCCGAGGAACTGTCGCGTTTAAGACGTCATCTCCGGCTCGCACTCTCTACTTCCGGTCGGTGAAGAAGACTGAAGGAAAGCCGAGACCCGACTGCACGCTCCGAACGTGGTCAGCCAATAGAAAATGAGTCTGTCTCGGGGAGGGCGGGGCTTCGGATAGAGACGTCATTATAACGCGACTTCTGGCTGTAGCTGGAGAGCTGGCAAAATGGTGGTCATGGCGCGACTTTCGCGGCAGGAGCGGCCGGACCTTGTCTTTGTGAGTCCGCTGGGACGGGACAGAGAGCCTGGGGGCTTCAGGGGGTTGGGGATCTAGGCCAAAGCTATGTTGGCCCAAGCGGGGAGGAATCTAACGGGCTCGAGGCGGAGTGCGGCCTAGGCCGGCCAGGAGTAGACGTCGGTGCCGGAGCCCGGGTGGCCTGAGTGCAGCGCTGCTGAGGAGGTGAAGGGCCTGGCGGCCCGGGCCTGGCGCGGAAATGGGAGCGCGCGGGGAGCGGGACAGGAGAGAATTCGAACTGCTGAGCCTTGAGAAGCCTGGTGTTGGAAGTAAAGGCACCAAACCAGGTGACCGGACCAGGGCTCTGGTTTCTGTGGTAAAGACGTGGTGGGTAACGGTCCTGGGCGTAACAGTATCTGGGAGAAGGGCTTGGCGGCTGGCTTAGGAGAACCCTGCAGTCAGAAGTGAAGACCTGCTGGTGTGGAGCAGGTCAGGCGATGGCCAGTGGGATCCAGAAGAGTCAGACGGTCTGGGTGATGGGCACCAGGTAGTCTGCAGTAGGGGTGCCCGCGGCAGGTCTGGTCATGTCAGGTGATGTGGATAATGAGCCCTTCAGGGGTAGTAAGAGGGGCATTGGAGGTCCGGTGTGTTTCCAGGTATTGATACACAGGGAATTAATGTCTGTCCAGGCAATGCCACAGGGCTGGCAAGTTCAAAAGGTCAAGTTCCCAGGATAGTCAATAGAAGAATAGAATGTTTCCTCATGCCTCAACTTACTTGATTTTAATAATTTAGCAGCTTGATTATAGTGACTCCAACTTTATTTACTTTTTTTCTTGTTTGGGGGATATTTCTTTTCTTTCTTTTTTTATCAACCCCCCTAACTCTCTGCTTTGGCAACCATCAGCTGTGGTTGGTTTGTGTGTGTGTGTGTGTGTGTGTGTGTGTGTGTGTGTGTGTGTGTTTTATCAGCTTGTTCTTTATATCTATGGTCTATATCCTATTTTGTTTATTTTTTTTTAATTCCACACATTAGTGATATCATACAGTATTTATCTTTCTCTGACTTAACTCACTTAGCATAATACCTTCTAGGTCCATTCATGTTGTCACAAATATCAAGATTTTATTTTCTTTTGTTGCTGAATAATATCCAATTGTATATATGTGTATCACATCTTTATCTGTATATCCATCTATTAACACCTAGGTTTCTTTCGTATCTTGATTTGTCAATAATGCTGCAGTGAACGTATAGGTGCATATATATTTTCAAATTTGGTTTTGTTTTCTTCAGATAAATACCAGAGGTGGTCATAGGTAGTTCTATTTTTAATTTTTTGAGACTCTCATCCTGTTTTCCATATTGACTGTGCCCTTGCACCAAGAGTGTACAAGGGTTCCCTTTTCTCCACATCCTCACCAGGCCTTACTTGTTGATTTATTGTTGTTGTTAATCCTCACGGGGGTATATTTTTCGATTGATTTTTTTTTTAAAGAGAGTAGGAAGGAGGAGAGAGAGAAACATCAATGTGAGAGAGACACAGTGATTGGTTGCCTCCTGCATGGGCCCCGATGAGGACAGGGGATTGAGCCTGCAATTGAAGCACATGCCCTTGACCAGAATCAAATCTGGGACCCTTCAGTCTGAGGGTTGACAGTCTATCCACTGAGCATTTTGTTGGTTTTTTTGCGTGTGGTTTTTGTGCTTTTTGTAGGGCGATTTGTTGATTTTTTTTGTGGTAGTCATTCTGACTAGAGAGATGTGGCATCTCATTGTGGTTTTGATATGCATTTCCCTGATGATTAGTGATGCTGAGCATTTTTTCGTGTCTATTGGCCTCTTTTTGAAAATTTTTATTGTTGGGAATATTACAAATGTCCCCCATTTCTCCTCTTTTGTCCCCTCCACCTGGCTCCTGCCCCTCCCCAGACCTTTATTGTCTGTGCCCATGGGCTGTGCATACATGCATATAAGTTCTTTGGTTAACCTTCTCCCCCACCCACCCCTGCCTTCTGAGATCTGTCAGTCTGTTCCATGCTTCCATGTCTCTGGACCTATTTTGTTCCTTAGATTCCACATATAAGTGAGATCATGTGATATTTGTCTTTCTCCAACTGACTTATTTTGCTGAGCATAATAGTCTCCAGGTTTCTCCATACTGTCTCAAAGGGTAAGACTTCCTCCTCCTCCTCCCTCCTCCTCCTCCTCCTCCTCCTCCTCCTCCTCCTCCTCCTCCTCCTCCTCCTCCTCCTCCTCCTCCTCTTCTTCTTCTTCTTCTTCTTCTTCTTTCTTCTTCTTTCTTCTTCTTTCTTCTTCTTTCTTCTTCTTTCTTCTTCTTCTTTCTTCTTTCTTCTTTCTTCTTTCTTCTTTCTTCTTCTTTTTTTACAGCTGTATAGTATTCCACAGCTTTTTTACCCACTCATCTACTGATGGGCACTTGGGCTGTTTCTAGATCTTAGATATCCTATTTAATAAAGAGGTAATATGCAAATGGTCGTTACTCCATGATGCAGGACAGCCCATCACCAGGACAGCAGGACAGCTACAAGTGGGAGAGAGCTACAGGAGGGCGGGGCAGCGAGCTACCTGCAGCGGAGAGCTGCAGTGGCGGTGGGCGGGCAGCCAGCTGAGGCAAGCGGCAGGCAACTACTCGCACACGGATTCGTGCACAGGGCCACTAGTTGTAGAAAAAACGCTGCTGTGAACATAAAGGTGCATATATTCTATCTGATTGGTGTTTCAGGTGCATATGTTCTCTTTGAAGAAATGTCTATTTATGTCCTCTGCACATTTTTAAAATTAGATCGCTTGATTGCTTGTGGGGTTTTTTTTTGTGTGTGTGTGTACAGTTGTATGAGTTCCTTATATATATTGGATGTTCATGCATTATTTGATGTATCATTTGCAAATATCTTCTCCCATTCAGTATGTTGTCTTTTTGTGTTGTTGTTGGTTCCCTTTGCTATGCAAAACTGTGTGTGTGTGTGTGTGTGTGTGTGTTAGTGATGTTTTTTAAAAATTGATTTCAGAAAGGAAGGGAGAGGGAGAGATAGAAACATCAATGATGAGAGAGAATCATTGATTGGCTGCCTCCTGTACCCCCTCCACTGGAGATGGAGCCCACAACCCAGGGACCTCTTCCCCTACCAAGTCCACTGAGCCAAGCCAGCTAGAGCTGCAGAAAGTTTTTAGTTTGATGTAGTTCCATTTATTTTTGTTGTTGTTGCCTTTGCCCGAGGAAACATGTCCAGAAAGTTAAGACTGATGTCAAAGAGTTTGCTGCCTATGTTTTCTTCTAGAAGGTTTATGGTTTCATGTCTTACATTTAAGGTTTAATCTGTTTTGAGTTTATTTTTGTATATGGTGTGAGAAAGTGGTCCAGTTTCACCCGGCTAAGGTGGCCCATTTACTAAGCGGTCTCCGGGGTTCGGTTCCTGGTCAGGGCACATGTCTGGGTTTCAGACTTGATTCCCCAGTAGGTGGCGTGCAGGAGACAGCCAATGGATGGAAGTTTGTCTCTCATTGATATTTCTATTATTATTTTCTTTATATATATATTTTTTAAAATTAATTTTTTACAGAGAGGAAGAGAGAAGGATAGCGAGTTAGAAACATTGATGAGAGAGAATCATTGGTCAGCTGCCTCTTGCACACCCCCTCCTGAAGATGTGCCCGCAACCAAGTACATGCCCTTGACCTGGGACCTTTCAGTCTGCACGCCGACGCTCTATCCACTGAGCCAAACTGGTTTCGGCTGATGTTTCTATTTTCTGTTTCTCCCTCTCTAAAATTAATAAAAGCATATTTAAGAAAAGAAAGTGGTCCGGTTACAGTTTTTTGCATTTACCTGTCACATTTTCCCAGCACCAGTTATTGAAGGGATTTGTCTCAAGGTTGTTGATTTCCATTTTGACCATTTGTTGTTTAGTAGCATGCTATTTAGTCTTTACATATTTATTTGCTTTCTAATGTTCTTCCTGTAGTTGATTTTTAGTTTCATGAAGTTGTAATCTGAAAAGACACTTATATGGTTTCAGTCTTTTTTTTTTTTTCAGTTATTGAGATTTGTTTTGTCACCTAATGTGTAATTTACTTCACTATTTCTTCACTAGTGTCTAGGGCTAAAAGCTTTGTGTCTGGTCCATACCTGTCTTCTGAGTAAAGGTCTAGCTTCCAAGTTCTGGGCACAGCTGAGCTATTCTGGCTAGTGGGAGCCTGAAGAAGTGCCAGAGACCTGGTGTCTAGGGAAAGCATGTTGTGAGGAAATAAAGCTTACTGTCCAGGGCAGAGGGCTGGTTTGGACAAGAAAGCCTAAGGAGTCTGGTATCCGGGCCAGAGAGTGGGTAACTTGATTTGGAAAACCAAAAAAGTGAAGTCTGGGTGACAGTCTATATCTGTCCTGGAATCCTGTGGCTGAGGAGTCTGGTGATCTGGGTTATATTGTGGCAGTAGAATTCTGAAGGCTGAGTCTGGACCAGAGTCCTATTTGGGCATCTGGGACCTGGCTCTGAGGGTGGGCACCAAGACCTGGGTAAGGGTCTGGAGTTTGGAGTGGACGGTGCTGTGCTGAGGTTCTGAGGGCAATTCTTCCTTCTCCCCATTACCTGTCCTCAGGATGAAGAAGACCTCCCCTATGAGGAGGAAATTATGCGGAACCAGTTTTCTGTCAAATGCTGGCTCCG